TTGATTTAATCCAAGCTTTCCTCATGTAACCTGAGCTCCCCCAAGTGGACGAAATAAGTATTACATGCCCTCGTCGGAAATGCGGTTAAATGTATAAAAATCCTGACCAATAATGTGACAATTGTTTCCTGTTACCAAATGCCTAGAACAGTACAACCGTTCAACCATTGACGTTCGATTGTGGAAAATATTTGATTATAATACGTGCAAATAGATTTCTTTTCTTTAGACATTAAGTTTAGAAAGGCAGTCCCTTGGAAACCTGAGACGCCCCCTGGGGAACCACGCCCCAGGCAACAAAAGAGCGACACGCGACCTGCTCGGCTCTTCCCTCTCCCTTCTCTTCGCTTCGCTGTTGGCTCTTCCACTCTGCCCTGCTCGCTGGATGCTTCGACGCGGCGCGTGCCGCGCCAGGCAACGCCCAAACTCGGCCAGCGAAACAAACAGGCCCTTTGTTCGCTTGAAGCTACACACCTGAAGTGCAGAGACATCGATCTGCCTTCAGTTTGTTTTATTTTCTTTATTTCTTTTGTTTGTTAAAGTTATGAGTCCGTTACACTGGACTAATTCAGGAACAGCAAGTTCCATTTTAAGCCTTTTTCGTCGAAGCCAACTTCACCGAGGTCAGACCAAGCCACGTGGTCTCGCCAGCTACACAAAAGGAAACCTGAAAACAGCCGAATTGCCAGACGGAGGAGGCTTTTTCAATCAGACACGGAGAACCCTGGAGAATCCCTAGCAGAAAGCCAGGATCGGCAGCTAGCGTGGGACCCGTGCAACAGGCCAAAAGCAGGCTGTTGACAAGCAGTAAGACTTAAACACGTCCTGTGATCAGATGTCCATTTAACTCCTAAAATCATAGCATTAGTTTACTTTCATTAGTTCTTCTATGCCGTATGAGTCAAATGCTTCCCACAACCGAACCTCCAGGCTCATTATTCAGCAAATGTTTATGTTCCCTGTATCCAACCATCTTTTTATCACCTTAGTTAGAGAATAAAGTCACTGTAATATAATCAAGAGCTGTGTGTGTTGCCTATTTAGTTCCTGCCAAGAGAATTGACCCTTTAGATATGAGACTGACTGACTGATTTAAGATAATTGAGCGATTATTAACTAACTGATCACTAGTAATAATTGTATAATTTTCAAAACTACCTAGAGGTCCGGAGACTCTAGGATATAACAACTCCGGTGGTGCCCTTTACGAGGAAATTCTGATTTTATGAATAATAATTCATAATTGGGTATCAATTCTCATAAATTTATTAAAATGCATAACTAATAAATTTAGGTCTACTACATTATTTCGGCATTACTTTAATCTGTTTATTGTTATTTAATCACCACAAAATATTTACTTTGGGTTCATACAGTTGTTGTAATGGCGAGTTGTGTTTATTCACGTTATCGAGTTAAATCGCCTTCTTGTGTGTGAACACTTGTAGCAAATGTACTCACGCGAAGAAAGCATTGCTAGGCGAAAATTCGCATTTGGTCTTAATGCCGCTAAGTATGTATGTATGTATGCACAAGGTGAGTACTCACCTTGTGCATACATACATAAGGTTATGTGCAAAAAAAGTCTATGAAGTTACATAAAATAATAGGTACATCGGTTGCACATATTATATTTATTTTTAGTCAAAATGATTCATTTCAGTTTGTATACTGAATTCTTATATGTAAAACCAAC